AAAAAAAAAAGGCATTTTACCTTAACTCATCCTGATCGACATCCATAAAATCTATATCCACTTGAGCATGACCATTCAGCATTGTTTCAGCACGTTCAACCAACACATTTGCCTTGACACAAAGTACTTCTAACGGAGCATATTGATCTCGATTGGATGCAATGAATTGTAAGAGTGAATTCAGCCAGCCTAACTGGATATAGTTTTGTAGCAATATACACGCCAGATTCAAAACGGTTCGGCCCTAGAGTTTTACGTTAGTTTTTTAATAATCCTTGTTTTTTCTTAATAAAACCTTTTCAACAGTAAGTTCAGGGTTAAGTGCTAATATTTTCAGCAAGTCTGCCAAAGCCAAGGCATCACTTAGTCTGATATCTGGATTTAACTTGACCACTTCATTGACACAGTGTAGTAATTTAACCACAGTTTCGCTATCCGCTTTTGCCTCAATGCTGTGTTTTAATACACGCATGATGGACATCAATAAGTTCTCTAATGAAAAGTCGTCTTCAGGATCGTATCCAGTCCTAATATAAGCATGAAGGAGATCCTGGGCAGAGTAGATGATAAACGTTCTAGGTGTAGGTGTATGATAGATACTCGCTTCGAAAATATGTGGAAGATCATTCCAAAGTCTACCGGTATACGCGCCAAAAAGCGTAGTTTTCTTATCATCTATCATCAGTCTACAAGCATTTATCATGATATTCAAGAGCTCAAGCTGGGTATCTGTTGAGAGATCAGACAAGGCAAAAGGGTAATTCTATATACGTTCGTGTTACACTACCGTATATATGTAGGTGAAACTGAAAAAGTACCTGATAAATAATCTTTCTTTTATATGATTTGATAATGTCATGTATAAGGAGAGTGCTGTCATTTATAATTCGTGTATACTGTGGAATAGGTTGACAACAAATATAACTGTGTAGCTGCGCGATCGTATGACTGTAATCGTTGCTTAAATTATGCAGATCTTGCCTTGTTCGAATGGCATGCTGAACAATGGGAACAAGGAGTGATGAGCAAAACACTGGAGATATGTTTACTGTGTAAGAAGTAGATAATATATCCTTAATTTCTAAAGTGAAATGTGTGTGGTATTAGCACAAGTCAAATCTACTGTGTATGTGTAAATTATATATTCCTTCATTAAATCGCACCTTTTATGCTAATTGCATATTCTAATTGCTGTTTGACATGAGCTTCAAGTACATCAGTAGATTCCTCCATGTGGAATCAATACGCGAAATTAGAAAAAAGCGTAATGGTGTGTATAGATCTATTTCCCAATTTGATAGCTCGATTTGATTCGCTAGATTTCTATGTTACTCAGTTTTTTATATAAAGACAAACACGCCCAGAAAGAGAAAGGGATGAATTGACTCCTCATTAAAGGATTACACGCCTAACTCTTTTTATTGAAAAAGAGACACATCTCTTTTTTCTGTGCGTGTTTGTACACGTGTGTGTCGGCATGTGTGTGTGTGTTGTTGCAAGTCAATATATCCATTTTTACTCCGTAAGATAATTTCTATATTTAGTGTATATTCAAGCTTTCTCTTCTTTTAAAGCCGACCAAGCCTCTTTTGTGTGTATACACAGAACAGTAACAGCTGATGAAGATTGTACCATTACTTCTACTGGTCACTGTTCTTGCCACGAACTGGGCTTTACAAAAGGGGCATACACCACTGGCCGCTTCAGTAGTCATGTCTACAGCCGCATGTCTAACAACTTATACAACATTACCAAAACTAAAAGAGACTTTTATAAAAGCGCATCTCTTTGGTCGAGATATCCTAAAGATAGGAAAGCCAATTATGTAAGTTTTATTACATACTTGTGCATAGTACTGGTAAGCTTATGTTTCTTTTCATAGTCCTGAAACGATGGGTCTGCCAACGGCCATTATCTATCTTATCACGCTGTACTTGTTTATGCCCTTTCCATTCATCAACTCATTTTATACACTATCACTTGACAAGTTTCCTCACCACAAGGTACGATTTAATCTTTTTACAAAAGAGTAATCACAAACAAACAACGACATACACAGTTGGGAGAAGTTTTATCAGCAATTTTAGCTATCCAATCTATGGTCTTGCTAGGGTTTGCAGATGATGTCTTGGACGTCAGATGGAGATACAAGGTCTGGTTTCCTGCTCTTGCTGGAGTGCCTCTTTTGATGTTCTACTATACAAATGGGGGAGGAACTTCGATCGTGATGCCTATGCAACTGAGACCCTATTTTGGAAAAATTGTAGATTTGGGTAAGATTTGCTTGGAAAGAAAAAGATCATAATAATAATGACAACTTGAAAAGGTGCACTCTATTACGTGTATATGTGTATGCTGATCATATTCTGCACTCACAGTATCAACATATTGGCTGGTATCAATGGCGTTGAGGCTGGGCAAACATTCATTATTGCATTATCCGTTGCTGTAAACGATTTGTTATATGTGGCCAATAGCCATTCAACACCAAGCTCAGAAGTTCATCTGTTCAGTCTGTATTTTATTCTGCCCTTTGTAGGCGTGACTGCAGCCTTATTGTGGCATAACTGGTTTCCAGCTCAAGTGTTTGTTGGAGACACCTTTTGCTATTTTGCAGGAATGACATTTGCAGTCGTTGGTATCATGGGACACTTTTCCAAGACGCTTTTGCTCTTCTTTATTCCGCAGATATTTAATTTTATTTACTCTTGTCCTCAGCTATTCCGATTTATAGAATGTCCTCGTCATAGAATGCCACGATTGGATGCAGACACGGGCTTACTGAAGTGTTCTACTGTTAGACCCAATGATAAAAAGCCACTAAGCAAGTTAGGAAGCCTTATATTAAAGCTGCTTAATGCAATTGGTCTATTGAAAGTGTTTGAATATGATGACAATGGACGTATCATAGAATGCAATAACCTGACGATCATCAATTTAGTACTTGCACGATTGGGCCCCATGTCAGAGAGGAATACAACGCTATGGATCATGATAATTCAATCGTTGGGCAGCGCATTGGCCTTTTTCATCCGCTATAAGCTTGTGCATTTTGTTTATGAAATAAACAACTGAGTTTCCTTTTTTCTTTTTCTTTTTTTTTTACATTTCATGATGGAAGGTGATTCATCAATGCAAGTATTATCGATCAACTAGTGCAGCGCCGTCATTAACACGTTCAATAGAAAGACTGAGCTTACAGAACATGCACCACTAACTCAACCAACGAATCCTATAAAACAAGAAGTAAATCTCTCCCATTTTACCCAAAACAGATATTGATCTTTGATAGGAATTCAATAATCCTTTTATTCAATATACACCAGAGAATATTGCTGAACAATTAGAGCAACCAGCTGCTCCTATATCAAAAGTAAAGCAACCGGTAGTAGAAGGCACAGTGCCACCAAGAGCTTATTTAGATAAAACGGTCGTTCCTACATTATTGGAAGGCATGAAACTACTAGCGACAGAACGGTATGTTACTGTTTACTCTTTCTTTTTGAATTAAGCTAACATTTATCCAATAGGCCATCTGATCCGTTGGCTTTTCTTGGTCATTTCTTACTAAGTAAATCAAACGAAAAGCAGCAGTAAATGGGTTTCACTCTTCCTTTTTCAATATCCGCACGCCACCGCTTAAAAGAGGCAAAAGGGATAAAAATAAACATTTTTCATCTTTCTTTTCTTTCCTTTGTGTGTACATTATTGCTCCTTTCCTTTAACTTAAACAATGGGGCTTTTTGAAAAGATTAAATCCAGTGTTGAGATGTGGAAGATAGAAAAATATACCAAGCGTCGACCAGTGAATGTTCCTGACTTTGAGCAGAAAGGTACGAATTGAGTTAATAAACACATTTTTACTTATCATCATTATCAGACCGAGAGTTTTATCGTCAACATTATAAAGATGGCGTCTATCTTCATCATCAATCAGGAACAGCGTCAGGAGATTCATTTAAAAGAAAGACTTCATTACTACGTACAAGGAGTGAAAGAATAGTGCGCTCATCCGAAAATTACAATAGTTCCTAATAGACATAGATAACTGTTGACACTAATAACAACAGACTTAATAAATTTGCCCTGCAGGACATACTGGAGTAACTTTGTGTCACGTTTAATTTGTGCGCTCTTTCCTTTTATGTAATCTATATTGATTTATAGAGCTCTGACCGTCACCTGGACACTTTTTTGCTGAATGATCTTGAACTTGAATAGTAAGGCATTTTCTTAAAGTTTTTTCTTTGCAGAACCCAAAAGATGTGTAGATAGGTGTGTTATCCATTATATCTGAAAAAAAAAACAAAAAAAAACAAAAACAAAAACAAAAAAAAAACAGGCGTTCGGTATGAATAAAGCAACACGAGCATTGGCTGATCTTGGACTCAGCTCTCTTCCTTCTAAAATAAGCTATATTCTGGCTAGATAAAAGAAAGGAATGAAGCCATCTACTACAACCAAAGGCTTTTTTTTAAACATATCTCTAGTCATAAATCAAATGTCTTATAGATAGTTATACGATTAAACAGTCTTTTATTTACAATTAAAGCCTCAAGTGGGCGCACGATAATAATATATCTTCTTCGCCCGAGTCAGATCAAAAAAGAATGAAGAATTGGTAACTAAAAAACTCTTATGAGATCAAGGGTAAAAAAGTTATTGAAGGAATGATGTTGGGGCAAGTGTAAGATACACTAGTGAGGACAACGAGGGAGCCAATCGAGGAGCTTTTGCCCAAGGTGTGGGGGCGGAGAAGGTGGACACTTCTGATGATGGAGGTAGTCGAGTTCATGAAGAAGAGTGCAGATAGCTGGCCAATGAATGGTCCATGGGAGAGCGGCTTGAAAGGAGCGTAGTTTCTTTGA